GAATTATTCTTGGCGCAAGCTGAAAGAAAGAAGCCAAGATAAATTTATGAATTTCTCCGTAAATTTCGCGCCAAAGTTTACAAAATTTAATATTTAGGCATAAATTTGAATTGTAGAATCGAAATATGGAAAAAAAATAGTACGTTATTTCAGAAAAAGTCCGATTGTGTGTCAAAATACGTATGCTAGAATAATGCTAGCTATAAATCTAATATATATCCTAAGTTACGCATTCGAGACATGAAAAACGCAATTTTAGTTTCGTCAATTGGTCCAGTAGAACGGGAAATTTAGAACTGTCTTTTTTTTTTTTTTTTTTTTTTTTTTTTTTTTTTTTTTTTTTTTTTTTTTTTTTTTTTTTTTTTTTTTTTTTTTTTTTTTGTTTTTTTTGTTTTTTTTTTTTTTTTTTTTTTTTTTTTTTTTTTTTTTTTTTTTTTTTTTTTTTTTTTTTTTTTTTTTTTTTTTTTTTTTTTTTTTTGTTTTTTTTTTTTTGTTTTTTTTTTTTTTTTTTTTTTTTCGCAATGTATCTGCAATCTTTACTTAAGGCTGGAGGCGACATTGTGCTGTCATACAGAGAGTTTTAATGCCGTATGCACTTAATCTACCCATCTATTTAAAAAGCTGCTGAGAGGTTATACTCTGTGGAAACTTTCTAACAGATCTTTTATGAGTCTTTTAATATTCTTGATCATCTACGGTGAAAGAAAATTTATAAAATGATAATGCAACGTATTAGCAGCCTTCGGTATCTAGTAAGGCATTGAAAAACATTTTAATAGCTAGATTAACAATTTGATATTTTGAACTTTGATTTGGCTTCCACAGTGAATTGATACCAGTCTCTTAAAGCAGTTTTAGAATAGAATGGAAATAAGATTGTAAGCCATGAATACAGCACCATTATGTGGAATATATTTACGTTATTCACTGTAGAGTTCGTGGGCCGCTATCTCTTCGGAGCTGTACCAGCAATTTATTGACTCCATGACGTGAAGTGTGACTTAACGCTGAAAGCTGAAAGCTCTGAAGTTAAATATTTCCTTTGAGATTATAATATACGAGTGAATATGTGTATCTACATAAGGGGAATGTAGGAATATTGGAATAATAAAAACTACCTACTTATTGCTGTTCAAGAGAATTACATAACGCTATCAGCAGAGTATCAAGAAAATTACTTTATCAAATTAGAACAGGAGTTTGTTAAATCGCAGTTTCTCAATAATTGCAAAAAAAAATACTTAGAAAATCTCTTGAAATTTTGAAAACTTAATCTTCAATTTCAAAATTTTGAAATATAAATAACGTTTCTAATGCTTCCTGAATTTTTGTTTCCTTTTTTAGTTCCAGCGTTAATAGTTATGCAGTATAAATTAACCTAAAATGATATTGTTACCAAGATAGTTTTTCATTTGCTACAAATGTTTGATTTTAAACAAATAAAGCGAATTACGTTCATTTAAGTTACTTAAATACCTAGCGCTTCTACGTATATTCAAAACTTTCCTTAAACAGATACAACTTCAAATTTATTTTTTAGTGTACGTGTTAATACAGTAGCTAGTATTATAATTTCATATGCATGTGTTCAGGTTTGGTATACAAACATACAGGAATATACATTAATGATTATGTATAGAATCCACAGTGCGTTTATAGGAGGAAGCGAATTCATAATGTTTCAATATTCTCCAAATTTTGCTGTATTCTCTGCGTTAAATCGTTACCCTACTCCAAAGCAACGGCAATTACAGATAATTCAGACTTAATAAACGCGAATAATTATTTATTTACGTTTTTACATTTGGCCACGTATCTTAAAATATTTACTTGGTATTAAGTTGTAAGGATTATGTTAATTTTATTAACAGTTAAATTTTAAGTTAAAGTTCCTTTCCTGTCAAATTCTTAACTTCAACTTACTACTTCCGGACAGAACGTAGTTTTGGAATCTTGCTGAATATTTAATGAGGAGGAGCGGTTAACCACGAAGTTACTTACTGAGTCAGAGAGAATCAGAGTTTCTGATTTACGCGTGTCTGCCTCTTTGGAAGCTCTCTCTCTCAAAGCTGTTATTACGCTCGGCCGTACTCAGGCCCTTGCTAAGCTTCGTAGTCAAATAAGTTAAGGGGCCAACTCGATTCGAACCTTGATAGCTTGCTTCGGCTATACTTCTTTAGTTAATCTCAGTTTTAGTTTAATTCTTAGTCTTTTAAGTTCAAGCCCAAGTGCGGGCTTTGCTTGTACACTCCCAGGTTAAATTGTTAAATCGTATTGAATTAATAAAGGGTTAGTTACCCTTCTATCTTGTTGTTTCTTGTCACCGAACTCAAGCGATTATTCGCTTGTCATTTCTTAGATTCTTCACTTCTAACATTAAATTAAAATTCCAAAGTGAGGAACTCTACAAAGTAAATACATACATTTATTTATGATATTTTTATACATGTTTATTTTTGATATTTATGAAGATAGTTATATAAATTTGTATATAAAGTTATGAAATTAAATTTTAAGAATGGATCGACATCATTCTATGAATATGATCTTACATTCTTTTCTGAAATTTCTTTAGTGGTTACCGATGAAATTAAATATTACAATTTTATAACCAAAATCCCTTTCTAGGTGATAAGATTTTAAAAAGTTGTGACTATGCAAGAAAATCAAGACACTAAGGTTGGAGTAAAATAGTATAGCAAAAATTAATTTCAATAAAAACACGTGTAGAATCATTAAGCTATCTGGTCTCCTCTAGTGAGTAAAAGGTGGTATTCGCGAATGAAACAGTATGTTATCCAACTAAACAGTACGCTAGTTTTCTTACAGGGACTTTTTATGATTCAGGCCTCTTGAAACTTTCCAAAAGTTTGGTGCTAGTACGATGATGGTTTAGCATGATTTGGAATAAACAATATGTTTGCATTAAAACAATCTCTATTTTCATGTAAAAAAATGTAAAGCAGTCCGTAACTTATATCCGTAACTACAGACAAATATATTTATACATTCATGCTCACAAAATAAGCAGTAAATGCTAAAAGAAAAGGTTGAACGTAGAATGGGGAATTAAAACATACAACTTACTTATAAGGTAGACGTTGCATCTCCGAATGCAAATAGATAACCAAAATTATCATCAAATGTAATTCCACAGTCACACCACAACGCCTTAAAAAGGGACAGGCTAGACCTATGCGTCAGTTTGCAACTAGCGATAGTTTCGTATAATCCGAGCTAGCCAAAGCGGAAAGCATGAGCCTAACGCATCATTTGCACCATAAAATGCGTTGGAATGTTGCAAGCGTTGCAAGACAACCCGCTGTAGTGAGAGAGCTGAATGTGCATCGCAGTGTCATCAATAGGCTGTGGAAACGAAATGATCAAAACCCCTGCAGAAGACGTCGGTGTGGGCGTTAGAGGATTACCAGACCGACAGACAATCGCTGCCTGTTGTATGTGCAAGACGTCTTAGATCACTGACAGTACAACAGCTGGCGTCACATCTCTCTGCTGCACGACGGCCCATATCTCCCCAACCTGTGCCGCACCGATTGCATGAAGGTCGACTGTACGTCCGATGACTGCTGTTTGTGTTCCTTTGTCCCCATCCCATATCAAAGCGCATTTGTATTGGGTCCATGAACATCGCAGTTGAACACCAGAGCAGTGGGTTCCCGAACTCTTTACGGATGAGTCTCGATTTAACATCCATAACGATTCAAGAAGGGCAATGATATGGCGAGAGTCGGAGACAGCTATTATGCATCAAATATCACCGAAAGAGAACATTACAGAGGAGAAGGCTTACTTTTAAGGGCTGGGATTGCAACGAACGGTCGCACCGACTTCTATATGATTCATGGTAGTTCCGTCACAGCCATACGATATTGTGACGAAATTCTACACCCTCTTGTGCATCCGTTTATCGCCGAAATGGGTACAAAGGCAACATTTATAGACGATAATGCCAGCCCGCGTAGAGCTCGAGTGGTGCGGAGTTCTCTGGAAAGGGAAACCATTCCATACCTGCCTTCACCTGCTAGATCACCAGACCTAAATCCCATAGAGTAGGTGTGGGGCATGTTAGGTTGCCGAATAGCAGGTCGCAGTGCACCGCTAGGTACCCTCCACGAGCTCCGACGTGCATTACTACAGGAATGGGAGCTACTGCCACAACAAGAGATCAACAATGTATTTCAGCTAGAGCATGTATTTCAGCTAGAGGGTATCACAACCATTATTAGCGTGATGTTTACATTGCACATTCTTCGACCCATTTGGCCTTTCACGATGTGATGGTCGTAATACATGTACTTTTGTATGTATTTGCTTAATTGTATGCTATGTGGTCTAATAATATCACACTAAACTCTTGGATCAGTTTCACGCATGTCTATTAAATATTTTTTGTTTTTTGTTTTATTCCATATTTTTCCTTTGATACTTATTTTTGAGCAAGAGTGTAGAATCTCACTAAACATTTTAATAACGTTATTAAGTTTCAGGTATTAAAATGTATTGTAGGGAATTTATTTGACACGCACTTAGACTTTAAAATATATTATTATGCTTAGAGAAAACCAGCTTGGATTCCATATGGTACACATAACAAGTGTTTCGGAAAAAGAAACACTAACTATCTATGTGAATAAGTGCGCAAACATGCTTGTGCAAATGAATTGAATAAACTAATAGTTTTTAACAATAAGCTCTTCCTCATATGATTACCGGTTTTTTTTTCATTGAAAAAACGTGTTAACTTCGAAACGAGTTATATATTTAACTTCAAACCCTGCGAATTGCTCCAAACAGGTACTAACGCGTGGTATGACAAAGTGAGTGGGAATTAAAAGTAAAGATACGACAATTGTGCTTATAGCAGCGAAGATTTTCCCAACTCAGCTCGCTATTAATAGCATTTTTTTAACTGATGACCTCATTGTACCAGAAGACGGGAAGACATCTAGCGAGGAAAGACGCGAGAAGTATGTGAGGGAGTGGACAGTCATAAATGGCTTTAGCAGACAGATGATAATGGCAGAGATAGAGCTCCGACTTCATCTTTTTATCGTCTGCTCCCTGACAGCCTCCTCCAAAACCATCGAGTATCCCTCCTCACCACCACCTACGCACTGATCTGACCTCAACCTCTGGGTGACCAGGTTTGGCGCATTTATCATCTCTATTGGCGGTTATTTTAATATGCATCATTTTTCTGACTCTCCGCCGTTATCGGTATAGCAATATCGCTCCAGCCTTTTTTTTTTTTCTGCGTGTGTGGCTCGGTAAGGAAATATTTAACTTTTGCTAGCGTCGAAGGGGTCGATAGTTGACTTCGGAAGATACTGAAGTCTCTTAAAATTTACTTTATTTTTTTTACTTGTGCATAGTTCAATATTTTAAAGCGTCAGAGCTCACACTTTGTGTAAAGTAAACTGTAATAAATCCTCTGAGAATAAAGTTTCATTAACCTCTCTCTTACTTGATATTTTTATTCGCAAGCGATGTAATTTGCAACAGGTTTCCCTTAATTAAGAAACTGAGATTCAACCTCGCTGAAATTAATTCTAGAAGTTTAAATTCAAGGAAGGTATATTTTTCCACAACGGACACTAATATATTCTTATTAAAACATTTTATACGCTTGCTATTTTTGTCGTTAAAAATCAATAGTAATTAAGATGATATTCCCAGTCATGAATAAGTGTTGTAGCTAATTACAATAATGAAAGCCTAACTACTGTGTTTTAACAGCACTTGAAAATTTTGTTACTGAAAATGTTAATGTTTAAATATTATAAATCTGTCGCCTGTATAGATAGTGAAATTAAATATAAAATTTGCGAACAAGTAGTAGAATACTTGGAGTATGGACTCATCTGGCGAGCCTGACCTTTTATTCATTTCAGTTAATTAATTTGTTTTTTTATAAAAGAAGTGTATATCTTCTATTTCTCACTCTCATCTGTAATGGAAATATCCATCCATAAATACTGAAAGTGCATGAACCATATCGACCACTAATACTACCTCTAACAATTCGGGATTTAAATAAATGTGAAACGAATATATCTATCAGTGATGGAATATGTACTTCGCATAACTTGTTGTATTCCTTACCATTTAGATTATGGTAAGAAAACCTAATAAGAAAGTGATAAAACTGTTTCCAGTTGCATTTGGCATACATTTTAAGACGTTTATACACCCAAGTAGAAGATAATAGCAAATAAAACTGAAATGATAATTTGTAATCAGATCTAGAATAATTTCTCCGAGATGACGCTTCACATATACGTAACTAAAACGCCTCCTGATCAATAACATTAAGAACTGGTTACACAAACACATTATTCATGTACAGTAGAAAATAATTTTCTAATTCCTACATTTAGTACTGCATTACTATGTTAAAATTTTGGTTTGTTAGGTCAATTTACTGCTTATATTAATTAAAAATAAAAGGTAAGATATATAATACTTAAAAAATATTGTGTTGTAGTAATTATAAAACAGCTACAGATACGGAATTGCTGAGATATTACAGTATCATGGTAAACGTTTATTTTGGATATAAAGTAGTACTGATTAATCTTAATTAATTTACCTGTTATCTTAATTAATTTACCTTTCTCTTAATCCATTTACCTTCTTTTAATCAATTTACCTTTTTTAATTTGCAAATTATAGTTATTTTAAATACCCCAAAGATCACTGTAATGATTACATAACTCATACGTTTGCTGTTCAGTTTTAAACATTCAGAATTTTTGCGACTATTAGAAGTTTCTTATCAGATACTTTGTTGAAATGCTGTTGACTTTACCACTTTCTGTACACGATAGCTTTACCACAAGTTCTGTGTGGTACAAAATGAAAACAAGGTATGGGGGATGATTTTAAGTCTTAAAATAAAATTATTTGGATTGAATAGCATTAAAATTTAGTTATAAAGTCGGACGTTACAGATTTTAAACTTAGTATATGAATTTCTTAAACAGCAGGGAGTAATACTGAAATAAATTTATGTGAGCGAACATCTTTTACATTAGAAACAATGGACATCTGCATTCACACTTTTATTTCAAACAATGAATTAGTAAACTTTGAGGGGACGAAACTGTACCTTGAAAAAGCAAATAAAACCAAATAAATTAATTTAAAAATTTAATTCCAGATCTTGGAAGTTTCGTATTTACTAAAATACCATAGCGCGAATTTGTGAATTTTAGAGTATTTAAGACAATAAATCTATCATATGATTTTTAAATGTACTTTCAAATGCAAATGGAGTAATTAAAAAAACTAAATGCTACCTAACCATATTTACAAATAACAACAATCCTACGTATTTTCCACCAAGCTTAACAACACTTTTATTTAGAAGTTTTCGATTTTTTAAATGTTTTAATGGCTTGGAAATATTATATATTGCTAAACAGAGTCTGGAGAGCAATTATATCTAATGAGTTTTTATTAAATGAAATTGAAATGTAGTTTAATATTTATATTTGCTTTCAGTTATTCATGGTTCATTCTTCACTTTTATGCATTAACATTAAAAGCTTCCATTAGCATTGCTTAAAATCTGGTTCATCAAAACATTTGCATTAAAACTATCTTCCTAATTTTAACTGTGTTACTTTTGAAAAGAATTAAGATAGTGACTTAACCTGCAGACCGAGATGATGATGCAGTATCGTGCACTGTGTACTTGACTGGATTACTTACTTTTTACAATGTAATATCACAGACATAACTGTAGTTGGGCCATGATATTGATACTTGAAAAAGCTTTTCTGTTAAAATTTTACCAAGTTACATCACATCGGTTTCAGAAAATAATGATAAAACAAATCTAGTGCATGATTTTATAATGCTAAAAATGTGGCAACAAGCAAATGCGAAAATGGAATTTCCTCGAATTCTCAAATCTACATTCAGAAGTTTTAGGAAAAGTAGGATTAAATGGGCATTTTATAAATATTCCATTTTTTTTTCACATCGCGTAATCTTACTTTTTCTTTGTGCTTTGGCATCACTTGGCGCAAGGTTTCTCAGCAGAAAAAGCAAAAAAGTAACCCCTTGCTAGAAGCGTTACTTCCTGGTGCTGTCGATGTGACTAGTGGCTTTGTGGCCTTCCTCAACAAACCAATAAACCTAAAGAGCCCAGTCATGGAAAGGAAATGGGGCGTCCTTTTTTTTTTTCTTTCACCACCCAAGAAGTAACAGAGTGCCCTTATTTGTACTGCACTCGTGATCTGCCTCACATATATACGTTAAGGTCAGGGTTCTTAAATATGTTATTGAGCAGAATCCGATCATTCTGTGCATCTTGTTCATCCTGAGAGGTGCTTTTTTATCTCACCGTCTGGTCCTTCTTCAGCTTAGGTTTCACTAGCTCCAGAATTGCAGAAACAGACTTATGTCAGGATTCGAAGAAATTTACGTTAAAATAATACTAAAACTGAAATGTTACTACAATTTGCTACTATTACCACAATTCGCTTACATAGCGTATTATCAATTTAGGATTTTTGTTCTCTTTCGCATATAAGTTTATCACGAAATTAGTTGGATACGAATTTATTACTACGCTTGAGTAAAGCTATAAAGTTTTTGTGATTTCGGATGGTTAAGCTGTTAAGCGTCTATAAGAAAAATGAGGCAAAAAGTATTGTAATCTCTAATTTTTGTAGCAAATCCGCAGTCATTTTTAATAACAAAATTAGAATTTATTTTCAAGATGTGATTACCTTTCTGGCAAAGATTGTCAATACACTTTATACTTGAATTAAATGTTGTATGATCTTAAATTCATTTAGTGCGAAAACAAGTTACTACTACTTGCGCAATTGCTGCAATTAGTTTAATAATTATTTCCTAAACAATATTGATTAATTGATTATATTATCTCCTATGTTTAATTAAAGTAGAATTATTTTAAAAGAGTGAATCCATACTGGTAAGTTATATTTCGAAAGATGTTTTGAAGTAATTTGAAAGCAAAATGTTAATAATGTTTTTTTAAAAAAAATGGGGACTAGAGTTAAATCATCATGAAGAATAAAATTTCAATTGTAAAAGGAAAATTAAAAACATGTAATCATTGTCATTGATCGGAAATTAATTGACTTTTCAATGGGAACAAACCAACTCCCATTCAACGAACAATAATTGATAAAAATACGTAAATACGAAGGTGTTTCGTCTTTACTCGAGTTATAAGTTAAAGCCGAAACCGGCAATTCTAGTCAGGCCAAATATCTCCGCGAATAGAAGGGATTATGATCCAATGCTTATACTCAAAGAACTTATTCTTATGAAGCAATTTAGTCAATTCAATTTGGAGTAAAAAGCAAAATCTGTAGAGAAATCCGATATAACCCGAGTAACCGTCCCCGACACCTTCATGTTTATGCATTTGAGTTCTATATTATTTGTAAAAATTAAACATTGGAAATTGTTATTATGAAATCGAATTCAAAGTAAAGTTGAAATAAACATAGAAGATTACAAAATAAGATAAATAATGCAAAGTTTGTAAAAACAAATCAAAGACATATAAAGTAAATATAAAAAAAATAATATATAATAACAGTGAATGTACATGAAGATATAAAGGCCAGAAAAGGTATTAAGTAACTTACATTCTTTCTAGTGGGGGAGTTGGCAAAGTATTCTCTTCATGTCTGACTCATAAGTGTTGGGTGTCCGAAAATTCTTAGCGGCAGTGGGGGCTTTGAATAATATCAGTCGGTAAGACTTGGGTGAAGTAATTTATGGTAGTGGGTTGGACTCGGAATTCTTGAGGGATGTATTATGTGGAGTTCTTATTTGAGGGAGAATGTCTGTTAAGATTTTTTTGAAAATACTAGTGAATGGAAATTAATAATTTCTGGCTAATTGTCGTGTCGCAATGATTAAGAATTTAAGAAAGGAAAAAAGGAATTTTTCACTGTCCAAGAGCTATTAGACAGACTAAAGTCATGAAATAGGCCCATTTTTTTAGTAACAGCATAAGTCTGAAGACAATTAGCTTTTTACAATATATACAACTGAGTAATTACACAACTGAGTAATTACAAATCCTTCAACTGATAGTCATCCAACTTATACCGCCTTCTCAGGTTTAGGAACAAATTATCATATCCCTATCAGT